GAAATGTACCTTTGTGCCTCCACACTGTGGGAACTCACTTGTAGTGTATAAGATGAACTAGATGGACCCATACTTACTCCAAACATGGATTAATAGGTTCTCCACATGACTATGAGGACAAACATGAGTGAAACGGTCTCAATCCAAGGGAGGAACATCAAATGGACCTAATTTGGGAACCGGAAGAGGTAAGGAGTCCGAAATGTACCTCTGTGACTCCACATTGTGGAAACTCACTTGTAGTGTATAAGATGAACTAGATGGACCCATACTTATCCAAACATGGATTAATAGGTTCTACACATGACTATGAGGACAAACATGAGTGAAACGGTCTCAATCCAAGGGAGGAACATCAAATGGACCTAATTTGGGAACCGGAAGAGGTAAGGAGTCCGAAATGTACCTCTGTGACTCCACATTGTGGAAACTCACTTGTAGTGTATAAGATGAACTAGATGGACCCATACTTACCCAAACATGGATTAATAGGTTCTACACATGACTATGAGGACAAACATGAGTGAAACGGTCTCAATCCAAGGGAGGAACATCAAATGGACCTAATTTGGGAACCGGAAGAGGTAAGGAGTCCGAAATGTACCTCTGTGACTCCACATTGTGGAAACTCACTTGTAGTGTATAAGATGAACTAGATGGACCCATACTTACCCAAACATGGATTAATAGGTTCTACACATGACTATGAGGACAAACATGAGTGAAACGGTCTCAATCCAAGGGAGGAACATCAAATGGACCTAATTTGGGAACCGGAAGAGGTAAGGAGTCCGAAATGTACCTCTGTGACTCCACATTGTGGAAACTCACTTGTAGTGTATAAGATGAACTAGATGGACCCATACTATCCAAACATGGATTAATAGGTTCTACACATGACTATGAGGACAAACATGAGTGAAACGGTCTCAATCCAAGGGAGGAACATCAAATGGACCTAATTTGGGAACCGGAAGAGGTAAGGAGTCCGAAATGTACCTCTGTGACTCCACATTGTGGAAACTCACTTGTAGTGTATAAGATGAACTAGATGGACCCATACTTACCAAACATGGATTAATAGGTTCTACACATGACTATGAGGACAAACATGAGTGAAACGGTCTCAATCCAAGGGAGGAACATCAAATGGACCTAATTTGGGAACCGAAGAGGTAAGGAGTCCGAAATGTACCTCTGTGACTCCACATTGTGGAAACTCACTTGTTGTGTATAAGATGAACTAGATGGACATTCAGATGGTACTCCATGCGAAATAAAGGAGGCTACTACTTCGTCATATCTGCTTTCAGTCGATGATATCGGTTTCTTCATTTCCGTTTCTTATGAACCTGTGAGAAATGACTGGGCTCGTGGACCCATGGTTGTTTCTGAAGTAGTTGGACCAATTGTAGCCGGTATAATACTCTTCCTATTTATTATCAAGCTTTTCAGCATCGAAAGGGGTACTATTTTCCATGAACGAGAAGATGAGTGGTATAAGTAAGATGATATATCTTTTAAATTCTTTTTTTTGCAGGCCATCCAAATTGTCAGTCATTGGAGTTTCTTGGATCAATGATTGAAGGGCAACGTTTGAGCTTTGTTGCTTCATATACTGGAGGGTAAACTTACTATAACACTCTTGAAATTTTATATGATCGTTAAGGTGAAAATCCCCACAGCTAAATCAACCTTTTTCAACGCAGGATAAAAGGAAATTGCTCTCTTGAATGGTTTAGGGTGAAACGTAATGGTGTAAAGGAAAAAGTACTGAGTAACGATGGTATATTTTTTTTAATCCAGTTTATACCTTTCGGTTGAGATTTCTTGCTATCACCTTAAAACTTGGCCTCAAATTAATCAATATGATCCCTGAACAGAGTTTTTGGATTTATCACTGGAGGATGTCGGGGAAAGCATTGAACTTATTTACACTCCTGTTCGTGAAGATGGAATAGAAGGGAGTCCTAGGAGCATCAGGTCTGATAACATTGCTCCAGGTGAGCTGTCTTTCTAAAACTTTCGTAGAATCTCCATTTAAGCTAAAGAGTATGTATATACTGTATCTTAAGTTTGTACACTGTTTTCTACATTTACTTATCTTGGCTCCTTAATTTTTTTCCCTTTGTAAACAGCAAATCCTATGGGTCTTGAGCTTTTAGTTCCTGACTGCTGTGAGAAACAAGAGGTTGTACCTCGTAAAACTTATTTTGGGGGCCATGAAGGTCTCGGAGAGTATATTTGGTATAGAACAAAGGACAAGTTGCATGGATCTGCGCTCACGGAAATATCATATGCCGGTGAAGAGGTTATTGCTTGTTGTAGAACATTGTAAGAGTCACATATTTGTGTTCAGATCTCTCTTTCTCTCTCTTGGTTTGTTCTTTTGGATAAGTGTGAATTATCTGATTCTGTTGCAGAAACTATACTCCATCACTTGATGATGTGGGGGCATATCTAGTCTTGTACTGGATTCCTACTCGCGTAGATGGGAGAAGCGGGAAGCCAGTTGTTTCGATAACTAACTCTCCTGTTGCCCCAGGTGCGGACATTGTCACTCTTTCTATTATATTGCTAGTTATTGTACTTAAACAACCATTGTCCACATCAGTTTATGTTTCTGACGGAATAAAGTGAATAATGTTGCAGCTGATCCAGAAGTATTTAATGTTGGTGTGAAGAAACTTTTTTCGGATGCTTATTCTGGAGAAGGAGAGTATTTTGGCGGCCATGAAGGTGCAAGTCTCTTCAGTTGGTACAGAGATATTGATGGAACCATTGATCTTATTGCTGGGGCTAACTCCAAAACCTATGAGGTGACTGAGTCAGATTACAACTGCAGCATATTGTTCGGGTATGTATGTTTCCACAGCCGTTTTCTCATTGCAGCTTTGTCAAGCATCCATTGCTTTGATATATTCTTTTAGCATGCATGTATTAATGTGTTTTGACTCTTGTATGCGAACTTGAATCTTAAAACTTAATTCAACTTATTTTGCAGGTACACACCAGTTCGTTCAGATTCTGCTGTGGGAGAGCAAAAGATGTCTGAGCCAACTGATATCATCCTCCCAGGTTTTTATTCTTGATCACTAGCAAAAGCTTGATGACTTTGATTCTTATTGTTGTGTTATGTTTTCTTTGCAACACAATTCCAACACTTTTGATCACAATACAGAGGTTCCAAAAGTAGACATGCTTGCTTTCACCGGAAAGGCTGTACAGGGTGATGTTCTCACAGCCGTACAAGTGATCCCAAAGACGGAAATTCAACAACTTGTTTGGAGCAAGTACAAGGGAGCTATTGAATACCAATGGTACATTGCATCTCAGTTCTTGGAGTTATTATATTTTCAAAATGAACATGTTTCAGATTTTAGGCTTGCTTTAAGGCCTCTAAATCCTATCATGTGGAAAACGTGTTTTCATGTATTTGATATCCTTAGCCAGTCTGCTTTCTATCCGGAAACTTTCTTATAGCTTTTTTATAAATTATGCTACAAAAACTTTTCTCAGAAACTGCTTTATGAATTAGATCTCACATAACATGAGTCGTGACAGGTTCCACTCACTGGAATCAGGGGATAAGATATCGTATGAAGCTCTCTCTTCAGAAACTTCGTGTTCATACAAGGTGCGGTTCGAGGATATTGGCAGATGTCTCAAATGTGAATGTATAGTACATGATGTGTTTGGAAGGTCTAGTGAACCAGCATATGCCGAGACTGGTCCAATATCTCCAGGTTTCTAAGCATTTCAGCTGCCATTGCATCTTGTTTACCAATATCTCTGACGAGGTGAAGCTATCACTGACTTTATATCTATTTCAGGTTTCCCTAGGATAGAGAAGCTTGAGATTGAAGGAGGAGGTTTCCACACCAACTTATATGCTGTTCGAGGCAATTATTTTGGTGGTAAAGAGGGAAAGAGTAAAATCCAATGGCTTAGATCAATGGTTGGAAGCCCTGATCTCATCTCAATTCCAGGTACACAAAACTTGTGTTGCATTGTTATTTTCTTCATATCAAATAGCAAAAGCTTTGCATTTTCTCTTCTATCCAAATACCTTGGAAAGCTTCAACCACTTTCATCTAGAGATTTGATTCATTTAGTTAATTTTTGTAGGTGAGACAGGAAGAATGTATGAAGCAAATGTGGATGATGTTGGATACAGACTGGTTGTTGTATATACACCCATACGTGAAGATGGTGTTGAAGGTCACCCAGTTTCTGCATCAACAGAACCTATTGCTGTTGGTAAGATTTGCAGTTGTCATTATCATCCTTCTGTGTTGTTATGTGTCTGCACTAACCAACTTATACCTATATCACCAAGTCCCTCAAATATGGCCATAAAATTAATCTTTTTAGCAGCTTCCTCTAAGAGAGATCTTATGTTGCCTCTTCCACGACTACTTTTCTTTTCTGTTTGCCAATGGGACTCACGCTGCTGATTAATTTGCAGAACCTGATCTTTACAAGGAAGTGAAGCAGAAATTGGAAACTGGGTTAGTGAAGTTTGAGGTAAGATTAACTTTTCTGTTTTTTTGTAAGAGCAAAACTATGAAAAAAGTTGCGTTCCTAAATCATCTGATTCCTTCTTCTGATATTTTGCAATCAGGTGCTATGTGACAAGGACCCTTATCCCAAAAAGGTTTGTACTTTTAGAATTTGCTTGTGTTACAATTGATTCGTTGTTCATCAAATTTGGGATTTCTGTAGATTGTGGGAGAGGGAAATCTGGAGAGACGAATGCTAGAAATGAACAGAAAGAGAATAAAGGTTGTGAAACCAGGTACAAAGACGTCTTTCGCAACTACTGAAGTTCGTGGAAGCTATGTTCCTCCTTTCCACGTAAGTGTTTCTGTGACCACAATCACTTGGACTCTTGAGAATCTTGAAATTTTCTTTTAAAGTTATCATTTTGCATCAAAACCAGGTTGAAACATTTCGTAATGACCAGAGAAGGTTAAGGATTGTTGTGGATAGTGAGAATGAAGTAGACATGGTGGTGCATTCACGTCATCTCCGTGATGTTATAGCACTTGTCATCCGCGGATTTGCTCAGCGGTTCAACAGCACTTCACTCAATTCGCTACTCAAGATCGAAACATAAAACATAAAAAAGAGTGGTTGCGTGTGTTACAAGTATCTCCTGTTTATTTCTGTGTGCCATTCAAAACTTCATAGGCTTTGGTATGGGAATGATGGGAATGATCTCTGTTTCTTTTGATGGTTTCATTATTACCAAATACGATGTGTTGGATGTAAAACTGTGATTGGTTTGAGTAAGAGACCCAAACCTGTGTTGTACCAAACGGGTTTTTTCTATATGAAATTTCAATCAGGTTTCTCTAATAATGTAGATGCATACATCATTTGTTTTCGACAACATATCGAATCTATAAAAACTGAAACACTCTTTCTAACTACCAAAACTAATCATATTTAATTGACGTACTTTTTATATGTAATTTCATACTTGGTGATTAAGATACACTTGGATTTCATCATAAACCACGCAAAACCGTCGGCTTTGTGACCAAGTAATACTGCTTTTGGATATTATCCAATAAAAAATACTACGGTTTGGATGTCTAGTCATAGATTTACCATTGTTTAGTCAATTCAAATTAGGTTTATGGAACTCTCATATAATTCTATGACCAAGTAAAAGCATAAATCAGGAAAAAGGATCAACAAAACAAACTAATTCTTTAACAAAACTAATACATTGCCAATTCTAATTTGGCTTCATTAGCAAAGCCATCACAGATTACGGTAATGTCGAATATAGATTGATCACAATCAATCACTTTTACTTTGTTTTTGTATATATATATTTGTTGAAAATTCAAGTGGATAAATGATGCAATGGCTAACATGCGCGTCACTAGTCTTTTCTATCTATGATGCCTCGTGTAAATCTTGTCACCATTGTCCCTTTTGTTCTTCCTTTTCTCATCCTTTTCTTTTACAACTCTAAACCTTTTAATATAACAAAAGTTCATTCTTCTTTCTTTTTCTTTTTAAAAGAGGCGTCCCTAACTTTTTTCCAAAAATAAACATGAATTCTTCCTCCTGCCTTTCAAATTGTATGTAAATCTTTGTAGTATTCATATATATATTTAGTGGTTAAATACCATTGAGCACAAGAAATAATAATAATCTCTTACCCTCGATCAGTAAAGTTTTGTATGTTTCATTCCGGAATTAGAAAATTATCCCTTAGACAAAGCTAAAACTTACACTAAACCTTTTAACAAATAAAAACATTAGTTAAACAAACCAAAAACGTAATCGTATACTCAAAACAGTTCCTTCCTGTTTAAGTTTATTAGCTGTTTATGCTGGCCAACTTAATATTTGCCTCTGATCATGTTTGGTTGCTTTATATTTTCTTTTCTTGTTTAATGATTTTTGATCGGATAAATAATTGTGTTCTTCTATTTGTTAACATAAAAGGAAATTATTGTTAAATAAAAATTATTTACTAAATATAAGTTGATGTAAGAGCTATAAAAAACTGATTTAAGAATTTGACTCATGTTCAACAAATTTATTGGTTTTCATTCATATATATGTGCTTTTATATCAAAAACATTTGCAAATGCTTGTGTATTTCACTGCTTTATTGTGGTTGTAACTTGAATTTTCTGTTATAGGATTTAGGCCGTAGGTTTTTTGGACGTGGTTGTAAGTTTTAGTGTTGTATGATTTTTGACAATAGATATTACGTCATTAGAGATTATATATGTAGCATTAAATATATATTTTTATAGAAACAAAAAGATGTAGAGAAGAATTCTCATAGCCTTAATTTTATGTTCTGAAAAGTGTTTTTTAGAAACAAAAATGTTTCCTTTTTAAACATTTTGGCTCTGCAATTGTAAAATGAAATCCAAATTTGATCGACTTAACATTAGTGCTTTAGAAATAAATAGTTGTGGAGTATATAACATTTACCGATCAACCCATAGTCTAGTTACCATTGTAATCACATAATTTACCACCAAATCTACACAATGTTGGCAGCCAAATATGAATAGTGTCACCGGATAAATATTGTTGGCATCACAAGAATTGGTTATGAACTCATATAGTGTTAGCCAGAGGTTTTCAATGGGATGACATTTTCTGTAATTACATTAGATCAAAAGGATAATTTGGTTTAATTTTTTTTTCTTTCTTACCTCACCTAATTTACAGTTTTATCATTGGCATATATTCTTAATAAAATGGTCAACCATTTTTAACTCACTCTTAAAATAAACGAAATTTAACTCTGTTTATTTGTACCAGGTTCCATGTCAGTATCAATCATACTAAATAAATAAATATTCATGCAATAAGCCCAATTTAATTCTTTTCTCACTTGCTCTCTCTCTCTCTCACTCTCTACCTCTCTTCCCCTCTCTCTCTCTCTCTCTTCGAATTTTGGTTTCTAATTGCAACGTTTCTCTTGCTGTTTTTGAGCTTTGGGAATTGGGACCAAGCTTTGACCTTTGACGAAATCTCTGTTTCCGCGGATCAAAGTGTCGTCTTTTGCCAGAGAAATGCAGTCGAAATGATAGAAAGGCGATTCCTTTTTGGAGATAAATCATTCGCGAGCGAGCTTCGTTGGTATGTAGTCTCATACTCTCATTCCCCTTGAATTGCAGATTAATTAGCTGTAGTCTCATTCCCCTTAATAACACTTTTCTGCAAGTGACAAAAAGAGAGCACTTTGTGGGAATTTCTCCAAGTAAAAACCTCTCCTTTTTGTTTTGTTTTTGCGTCACTGATTAACCTCTATTTTCAAAAAGCTTTGGGCCTCTCGTGAAATCATTTGTACATTTCCAAGCAAATAGCTAACTTTAGCCACTCTCGGTTTCTGTTTCAGAGATTCTAAGTAACAGAAAGAAGGAAAAGGGAAGACTTTGGTAGTTGGAAGAAATGGGTTGTGCTGCTTCAAGAATTGATAATGAAGAAAAGGTTTTAGTGTGTAGGCAGAGAAAGAGGCTAATGAAACAGTTATTAGGGTTCAGGGGAGAATTTGCAGATGCACAATTGGCGTACCTTCGAGCTTTAAGAAACACTGGAGTCACTCTTAGGCAATTCACAGAGTCTGAGTCCTTGGAGCTTGAAAACACTAGTTATGAATTGAGCTTGCCTTTGCCTTTGCCTCCTTCTCCGCCTCCTACATTGCCTCCTTCACCTCCACCACCTCCTCCATTTAGCCCGGATTTGAGAAATCCCGAGATTGGCCATGAGAATGAATTGGTTGATGAGGAGGAAGAGGGTGCTGCAGAGTCAGAGAATGATGGTAATGATGATGGAAGTGGCGCAACTCCTCCACCTCCATTGCCGAACTCTTGGAACTTATGGAACCCTTTTGAGTCATTGGAGCTGCATAGTCATCCAAGTGGTGGTGATAATGCAGTTACACAAATCGACCTGAAGAAGAAGCAAAAGATTCAGCAAGCTGAAGAGGAAGATTGGGCGGAGACGAAGTCTGAGTTTGAGGAAGAAGATGAGCTACAAGAAGCAGCAAGTAACTGCCTTGATTTAAGTGTTCAGAAAATAGAGACTGTTGGTGGCTCTGGCGTGAAGAAGCCAAGACGTCTGAAGTTTAAGCTGGGAGAAGTTATGGACGATAACTCGTCGATGACAAGCTTGCACAGTAAAGATTTGGAGAACACTGGTGCAGCGGCTGATTGTAGGATCAGGAGGACCTTAGAAGGGATCATCAGAGAGTTGGATGATTACTTTCTTAAAGCATCAGGTTGCGAGAAGGAGATAGCTGTGATAGTTGACATCAATAGTAGAGATACTATTGATCCTTTCAGGTACCAGGAAACTAGAAGTAAGTGACTTCAACTTTCGTGTAAATTGTTAATCTTTCTGGATGTTGGACCACCCATAGATGCTGATCTGTGTTCATAAGCATGTACATGTTATAATACTTTTGTGGCTCGCAGGGAAGAGAAGCAGCTCCGCAAAAGTATTCAGTGCATTGTCATGGAGTTGGTCTTCAAAGTCTCTTGGCAAAGATGCTACAACAAGTGGCGCTGTTGAGCCCTGTAGGCCTGGAGCTCACTGCAGCACACTTGAGAAGCTATACACAGCTGAGAAGAAACTTTACCAGCTTGTCAGAGTAAGAGCTAGCTCATCCAACTCTTTTGGTGTTAGATCGTTAAGATTCATCAATGAAATGCTAAGCTTTTTTGTTATTCTCTGGTCAGAACAAAGAAATTGCTAGAGTGGAGCATGAGAGGAAGTCTGCATTACTGCAAAAGCAAGATGTAGAAACCTATGATTTGAGCAAGACGGAGAAGATACGCTTGTCTTTGGAGAGTTTGGAAACCGAGATACAGCGTCTTGAAGATTCTATAACTACGACATGCTCATGTGTGCTTAACTTGATCAATGATGAGCTGTACCCGCAGCTAGTTGCTTTAACTTCCGGGTAAGCTCCTCAACCACTCTTTTGCTGGCCATCTCCGTGAAAAGTATTTCTTTGTGTGCGATTGTGTATATGTGAGCTTCTCAATATTCATTTGGTCTCCATAACCGCAGGCTAGCGCACATGTGGAAAACAATGCTCAAGTGCCATCAAGTCCAAACGCATATATCTCAACAGCTGAACCATCTTCCAGATTACCCGAGTATAGATCTCAGTTCGGAATACAAACGCCAGGCGGTTACTCAACTAGAGACCGAGGTTACTTGCTGGTACAACAGCTTTTGCAAGTTAGTAAATTCTCAGCGAGAATACGTGGAAACACTCTGCACGTGGATCCAACTTACTGATCGCCTCTCCAAGGAAGACAACCAAAGAAGCAGCTTGCCTGTTGCTGCTCGTAAGCTCTGCAAAGAATGGCAGCTTGTGTTTGAAAAGCTCCCTGATAAGGTTCTTCTATCACTTTTGCAACTTATATGTATATTTCTGGTTCCTGGCTTCATGAAAAGCCGTCTTTAATAGAACTGTTTTGGGTGGTATAGGTAACTTCAGAAGCCATTAAAAGCTTTCTGATGGCAATCAAATCTGTTATTAATCAACAAGCTGAGGAATACAACCTGCGGAGGAAATGTAATAAACTTGAGAAGAGGCTGGAGAAAGAGCTAATTTTACTG